TGTTTCTCAACTTTTCCTGCACACTCATTCAGCACTTTGGTTATTTCCCTTTGTTGTCCCTGTGTATTTCATCTATGCATGTTCAATACATATTTAATCACAGAAAAGATGGATAATCAAGTGAGTGAATGAATTAAATAGCAGAATTTCCAGTGTTCAGAATCAGTATGTGAAGTCTGAGCTCAACCTGGACCTTTAATCTTCATGTAAGAAAATCAACATGCTCCAAATGTGCTGTTCATTTCAGAATTCACATGGGCAACAACAGCCTATTGTCATTTTGCATGTTTTGTCCTTCGACCTAAGCATGTTCTCAAATATGAGGATGTTTTCAAAAGTGTAAAGGTGAGGTTCCCCAAATTGGCCCCACATATTTCTGTTAAAATAAGGAGGCGCTACCCTTGCTGACCATGTTTTCAGTCTATCCTGAAGATTGTTTATACCTTGGGTCAATTCCACACCCAAGATAGTATCTGGAAACAACTAAGGCCATCAATGACAATCATAGAGTAACTGCCTGGCAGCATGTGAAAATGTATAAATTAATGGCGATTAGTCTGAGTAGAGACATCATATAGTTAATATCCTCAGATCTGTCCCCCATGACACTTTATCTGAAGTATCATTGAGGAATTTAGTCCCAACACATTCGAACTTCAATTTCTCCATTTTAAAGTGAATACTCCCATTTGCTGATTATTGGATTTACTCACTTCTTCAACTGAATGTCTTGGGAGAGTCACCATACTTAAAGATTCCCAACTATGACCAAGGATGTGAAATATACATGCACTGGTGGGCATTAAGACAACTCTAGACCAAATTTACTCCGCAGAGTAATCAATAGCAGTGGCTCACCCAGAATGATGCAGAAAATGCAAATGTGTCCTTTCTCACAGGACCCAGGGGGTGACTGTAAAGCAGTGCGTGATTTCTGGAATGTCCCTGATATACTCCTCCTACCTGTCTGCTCAGACCACAATGAATCTGATTTCTTGTACTGAAAAGTCAAAGACTGACTAAACATAGTCATAAAGGGATCTTGTATCACTCCCACATTCCTTACTCAGATCTCACATATTCCGACCTCCTGGATCCCTTCTCTGTGCCTTACTGAGCTCTAAGTTCAGGGCTGAGTAGCAGCTTTGTTTCAACTCTATATTAGTTTTGATTTTTAAATTTATTTATTTATTTATTATTTCATGTGTATGTCTGTATTGCCTGCATGTAGGTAAGTGCACCCATGTCATGCAATGCCCGCGGAGCTCAGAGAAGGCTGTCGGATCCCCTGGGACTGGAGATACGGACAGTTGTTAGCTGCCATGTGGGTGCTTTTTGTTTTTTTACCAAAGGCTCACTCTAGAGCCTCCCAAAGCTTGTCACTACATTGAGGGGTCCTGTCTTCTTCCCCCACAGTGAATCCTGAACATTCTGAGAAAAATCTGTTTGTCGATCTTGACAAAGAATAATTCTCCATTGCTGTATCAGATTCTTGAATCATATCCACAGAACACACATTATTCCTGATATCTTTACATAAATGTAGACTCTGTAGGCAAAGATTAATTTTCTGATTGTGCTAGTGATAAAATGTCTCAAGGGTGTGAGAATTTCAGGAACAAGTTTCCATTATAGGTGATGACTGATGAGAGCTGCTACCTGCTTCCAAGCCAGCACCATCTTGGTACATCCTAGATAGGAACAATGGTATTTCACTGCGTGGGTGAAGAGATAGAACAGAGAGATCATCCTCTTCAAACACTATCCCTTTATAAGTGTACTAAACTTATGTATGAGGGTTGAACCTTCATGAGTGAATGATCTTCCAAGGGGTCATATCACTGTGTACCACTGCACTGAAGACTAAGTTTGAAGTTCAGCCATGAGTTATGTACATAACATAATCATTAAACAAAAAGAGAGGAAATTCTAAACGAGGGGTGTGAAAGTTACATTGGGGCAAGGGTAGATGGTTCTGGGCCATGGTAAAGGAAGAAAGACACGACCTTTAGAGACAGGTGCAGTGATGAAGTGGTCACCAAGTTAGATTCCTGTGCTGGACAGGAATGCACACTGGGAAATACTGGAGTTGGGTGCTATGGTGCAGGAAAGTGTTGTTGGGACAAGAATGAACTGACACCACCAGGAGGAGAGGAACAATGTGTTGCAGCCCTGGCATGTACCATCAGTGCAATCTTGGAGGGTAGCCCCCAATAACTATAAGTTGCTCTGTCATAAGCAGGCTAAAAAAACACAGCAGCACAATGATAATGCATTGAGGGTGAAACACCTGAACACTGCCCAAATATATTATTTAATGAATAAATGTTACTTTGAATATTTTTTGTATTAGTTTCTGTTTTTGTTTGTGTTTTGAGACAAGGTCTCCGTGGAGCCCCAGCTGGCCTGGAACATGCTATGTAGAGCAGACTGGCCTTGATCTTACAGAGATCATCCTGCCTCTGCCTCCTGAGTGCTGGGATTAAAAGTGTGTACCACCATGCTGGTATAAATATTAATTTGACTCCAGACCCTACCACCATCTCTCCTTAGTTTTGTTGTTACATAGAATATCTCAGGTGCTATAACTAACCTATGGAAAGAATATCAACTTAGAAAAAAATTTTCTTTTCAAATAAAAGTCATAATATTTTGGGGGGTAAGTCAGTCATCCCTAGCTGGTGAAACTCAAAACTCCTACCGTTATATCAAAGACCAACTCTTTCTTGCCTTCTTAGCTCTTCATTCGCTGGATATTCTTTTTGAATTAGCTTCACTGCTACTGATCTTTGACCTACTTTAATTTGATGAGATAGCAGACAAGATCATATACTTAAAAGCATTATACCAGAAAAGATTCTACCTCTGCCAGACCAGGGCTATAATGCTGCACTAGTATTTTTCAGGCAGCAACTCAAAGAATTCTTGCCAAACTTCCCAAGAAATCATTGCAGCCACTGTGGATAGACTATGTATTGCATGTACTGTGCCAACTGGGCCAGAACGGGATCCCAGGGCACCTTCCACATAGGTAGTAACTGGTGATTCCCCAACAGTTTAGTCCAAATCTCAAGTAAATACATCAGTATAGTTTTCTTTCTAGGTTCTTTTTCTCTCTCTCAAAAATCACTAAGAATATTGTTCCTGATATATTTCATGGCTTAATGTAGAATTCACACAAAGGAGAAGCAGTTTCCCAAAGTCCAATACACACTGGCCAAGGAATTTGCTATTGACTAATGACAACTGGATCCATTTTTCTTCTTTTCAATTGTTCATTATGTCTTAACACACATTTCTTCATATTCATGATA